AGGTTGAAGATACACCTTATTGGATGAGTGAACACAAATATACATTAACTGATCACCGCAGAGCGACCAATCTCGTGTTGTCTAGCCCTGAGTGCTGACCGAATTCTATCGGTCACTAAGCTAGGATACTCATCGCGGTGCACTTTGATGGATGTTAGTTGGTTGGAGATAATCGGCAGGAAACCCTCCTCAACCTAGGTTTCATGCTTGTTGGCACTCGTAAGCAAGGAGCATCTGCAACCTCGAGGGAACTGATGTCCTTTGAGACTCAAACCTGTGTCACCGAATGTTGTAGTCATTGACATTACCACCAAGCTATTCGAGTCGCGAACACTGACTGATCAATGCAGAGCACCCAATCTCATGTTATCTACCGATTAGTTTTTTTTACACCAACTGCTATTGGGTGAATGCGCTACTTCAGTGGTAAGCAATGTAACCCCCTGTTGAGCTTAAAACACTTTAGATAAATAAAGAGTATGCAATTTCCTGAATATATATCGAATGCTTAATAGAGTACACTTCGTTGTTACACCACAGCTTACTGGATACAGTTTACTTCGCCTCAACCTCCTTTCCAATCGCATTCACAAGTGGGATATAACCTCCGACTGACATCATATAGTTTGTTCATCGAAGGGAGAGAAGGTGTAAGGAATTGACTGTTTTCAGATTATTTATGAACATAAGTTCAGATCCACCGAAAAACCACTCATTCCACATCCTTGTTTCAGACTCGTGAACACTGTAGACCAACACCGAATCGAACTCAAATCCCTAAAGCCTTTAAGCAGCAGGCACATAACCAACTACACAGCCAGTCATCTTTCAATCGCTATTCTTCAAAATTCACTAATTCGCAACACCCAACAACAGTCATCACTTAATGTCATAAACAAAAAATGAAAATAGGTACGCCTTAATATTATTTTTTCTTTCTGTTACGTGTTGCTTACAACAATATTGATAACAATCATCGAAGCATACAATGAACAAATAAAAGTGATATAAAACACCGATTGATTTAGATTTTTCTTCTAAAAAAAGAACCAAATTAATTGATCAATTGATCAATATGAACAGTGTTTACGCTGACTAACTATTATTTATCTATAAAGTGTACAGTAGTGAAAAGGAAGCAAGAGTAGTTCAACAAATTAAACAAGACGAAGTATAGTGAAGTGAAAATAAATTAAAGTACAACTCTCTCCTTCTTCCACCCACCCCGAAAAAAACTAACTACACAAATAAAAACACTGAGGTAAAACAATACAACTGATAGATTCAGGCACCTAGCTGATTGTCACGGTTTATGGTCTTTATTTTAGGAATTCAAGTTACAACAAAAAAAAAAAGAAAAGAAATAATACAGAGGGATAACTTGTTTTCTGCGCACAAATACACGGCTACACATATGCTTACAAATACAAATGGATTTCATTGAAACATATTGAATTGACAATGACCAACTAAAATATTACTGTTTTGTTTTACAGAAAAAGCTTCAATATGTCAGCAGGTTAGTCCAACCTGAGAGTTGGTAATAGAAATTATTAGTTGTTCTTGTCATCTTTATAGCCGTAGTAATTGTGTTACAAGTAAGCTAGAGAGGGGACAACAGTATATATACATACTAATGAACACAAATGGATGTCGAAACTAGTAAGTATTCAGTAGAACAAACCCCATTGATTGAAGAAACACAGCAGTACTAGTAAGTAGTAGCAATAGTACTAACAATAAGTACTATCATAAACCAAGAAAACAACAATCTGTCCAACAAACAGGTGAACTTGACAACAAACATGGTAGAAATTGTGATGATAATCATAGATAGCCAGAGAAAGAGAGGGGGAAGAGACATTGAAGTACACAAAACAGTTGAAGTGTGTGTGTGTGTGTACGCACGAAATCAAGAAAATTTCCGATGTCTCTGTAGGTGCAGCCATATGAGTCGACTGTACGATCACACAGTGAAATAAAGAAAATACCGTTAAAAACACCCACTCATTTATTCAAACAAGAGTAGTAACTTTGTACGACTAAGTGCTGCATGAGCACAAAATCATGTTGTCAACGAACTACGAACTATACAACAAGAAAATTCTGTAAAACGTTTTCAATTTCTTTTTCTTTACTGTTTATTTATTTTAAAACAGAGAGAGAAGAAATAATACCATTATCATCGTCATCATTGTTATCATCATGAATTTGTTGTATCTGTGAGTCATCCTCATCACAGAGAATCAATAACATTGAAAATAAATTCAGGAGTACTTATATAGTCGCTGTTTCCCCACTTCTATGGATCGAAGACGCTATTGTCGTCGAAAGAAAAAGTGTCAAATAAACTGAGGGGGGACAGCTGCATCTCTCCATTACTCCAAATCAGCAGTAACTTAGAGAGGGCTGTCCAACTTTGAGTCACTGGTGACATTCTCAAAACAGCTCTGGAGGAAATGTGTGGTGATGTAGACTTGTTACTATATAAAAGACTTTTCAACATTCAGTATGTGGATGATATTGTTTTACCTTGTCACAGCAAACAAACAGACAGGTAAACAAAGTTAACGCAGAACCATGTACACAAGTGCATCGGCTCGAGTTGCCACACTTCAAAGGAGTACACAAAGAACAGGGGATAGAAAAAGTGATATCAAAGTAGACAAAGTTGTGCGAGAGAAAAGACAATTTGAAGATAAAGGTTAGTGCAAATATTCAAGCTTTAGAAGACGTCAAAAACGGAATGTCTGCGCCACTGCGACCAAGTTTCAGCCATGCCACATAGAGTCCTTAACCACTAATTCTCATCGTGTCAGGGACTTCACCGACTGGTCTTGGTCTGGTCACCCCGAACCCTCTTCCAACCCCCCTCTCCTAGCGTGGCACGTCGAGGTAAGCGGTGGATCGGCATGGGTAACACATGTCCAAGCCACCTTAATCGATGGAGGTACACACAACTTCATCATTCGACTTTCCTTTCTCCTGATCTCCACATTGTTCATACGATAGTTCCACCAAACGCGAGCAATACTATGAAGACACCTGTGATCAAACCCCTGCAACCGCCTCATGTCTTCTATTTTTAACGGCACGTCTTACGGCTGGACAACAGAACAGAACGGACTGCAGCGTGATATACTCTTCGTTTGGCAGATAGTCGAATGTCTCACCACTCGTCGCTACTGACGACGGGAGCCGGCAAATGTCAAACAGGCCTTTTATATCCCAGCTGATATCTCATCAACAACCAGCCACTTTTGGCCGGCTGATGCAACTCCCAAATAAGTGAAGTGGTCGACGCATTACATCACTTCACTTTCTGTCACTAAACTGGGAGTACTTGCAATAGACTAGTCCTGGAGTATCATCTTACATTTGACAGGTGCAAGATGCATACTTAACATAGTCTACTCAAAATGAAATGAATCAGTTGCCAATCACTGTCCACAAGTATGGTGTTCACTTTGCATCATTAAAGTGGAAAATGCTTCTACATGATCATAAAGGAGCGTATTCTTGCACTCATCCTTGGCAGTGAACCACTGAAAGTAGTTAAAAGTTTGTGTATCTGGACAGTTGTGTGAATGTTGGTGAAGCCGTGACCGATGAGATTTATAACCATTATATCGAAAGCCAGAACTGCATACACCAAACTAGGTTACTTTTTATGGTGTCATTCTGATCGTACAACACGTTGGTGACGGCATTTGCGTTCAACACCTTTGAAAACTTGCCTATCTGGACTGTAAGTGTTTTTGTAAGATTCTTGTCAGCTGGTGGAAGCATGTAATTATGATATCAGACAGCTATTGTTTGGACATAATAGAGATCATCATTTATCCACTGATGCCATTCTGATACATACCGTTTGGTAAATTAGAAATGAGTTGCGAATATCATCCCCATGGCTCCTAGATCATTCAATGTATGGAATTAGCTAGCAGAAGTTGAGAGGTAGTCAGCGTATGATGTAGCACTATAGGATAAAGAATACTTGTAATGAGTTAGCATCTGCCAGCGCATCACGACTCTCTGGATAGAGTGTGATATAATGCGCAACTCAAAATTGAAAGCAATGGTGATCATACCGAAACTGTTTTGCTGCTTCTCTTCTGTTATAGACAGTAATGATGCAAGCCTTTTTGAATGTATCCTTGAGACTGCTTCATTTACTGACTCTTTTCTATTTTTGCCCATGTCATCTTTCTCTCCTTCCCTATATACCAGTCTTATGTTCGCATTCTCTCGGTGCTTATGCTGTATTAAATGGCATTTCCTCACATTATATTCCAAGACTCTTCACTCTGCTTAAATAACGATGAAGGAAGTAAATGCACAGTATACATATGTTAGTAGAAAACTGTATTCAGTGATTTGTTAGCGACTATGGAAGGCAGTGCTACATATGGATTGACATAATGTCTTCATCAACATTGAAAAAAAATCTTACACTTTTATTGCATTCATATCCTTTTTCTGTTTGTCCTATAGCGCTTTGTAACACAACTGATCTTACTACTATCATTCTTACTTGTATATCTCTCCATATGTTGATTTCCACTTGAATGTGCTGATGCAAAGTGCAGCAACTTTAAATGCTACACAGTTAGACCACAAGTCATCTACTGTTAATATGCACACCTGTACATGGGATGGTATGCTTCACAGTAGACACTGAATGATTCCCTCTTCAAAGATAGTAACCAGCGAATGACAGATTACTATCATATTACTAAAAGTCAATAGTTTTAAGGACTTAGCACCAAATCAGTTGATTGAATGTCTTGATATTGTCAATCTCATTCTAGTAGCAATGAGAAGTGGCAGATCGTCGACTGTATCTCATTCTATCTGTAAATCGTCAGCTATATTATACCCACTCTCACAGTGAATAATTTTGTTTTCATCGGGACTCAAAGTCAACATCTACCAATTCAATAATCACTAAAATAATGGTTTAAAACGATAAAAGAGATTTAAAGCGGATACAAGCTCACCTTTCATTTTCATGCCAACAAGTAGACATTTACGATATCTGCATATTTGACATTTGCCACGACTACCTTTCGCAACGATACAATTTCCACCAGTTGGACAGACATTTGTTGGTTTCGTGTCAGCCATTGAATGACGCATAAAAAATTTCTAGATCGTTAAGATAAATGAATAAACAAACAAGAGAAATGATAATAGTTACAAATGTACGTAATTATGATCATTATAGGGATACTCAATTAAACCAATGTAGAAATGATGTCAAGAAATGCTTTTGTTAACTCCATGTACAGTAACTAAACTGAACACACCAATAAACAGGCATACTGAAAAAGCTGATGAGTAGAATTCTTGTAACAATAAAAGAGGAAGCGAGGTAAGCACTAACAATTGATAGACACCTTGGATACAAATGGTATGCACATACGCTTGAAATTTGAAATGTACTCAAAAACCTTGTGCACAAACATTCAGTAGGCAATCAGTCACACCTACAGTAGGAGATAATGAGACTACTTGGTTGCCTAAACCCCGGTAGGTGGAGTAGGGTTCGAACCCATTATCCATTGATTGAAGGTCATCTCCCCGAAGCAATGAACTACAGCTCTAGTGGCATATACGCCTATTTAAACAAACATCTAAAATAATCAGTGAAAAACAGACTTCATCCAGGACCAAGATAGCAAAAAAGTGGAAAACCCGCAAAATGTGTTATCGTACACGTAAGACAGAGACGGACAGGCAAAATAACATTCAACATGACACAAACCCCAGAAGATTTGGATTTCGCCCATGATGATTTATGCCTAGTGTTGCACACACTCCAAGATCTACAGGCAAAAACTAACAAGTTGGCAGAAGAAACAGAACAGCGAAGACGGAACTTCCTTCAGGTGGACGTAGAGAAGACAGAGGTGATGAAGACACTCAACCAACAACAACAAGCACCAATCACCATCAATGGGAGAAATCAAAAGGAAGTTGTCTCTCTCACCTATCCAGACAAGGTACCATCGTCTCAACTGCAGGCAGCAGCACACATGAGGATGACAAAGCCAGCCAGGATCGGAAAGACAGCAAGACACACCTTCCTGCTTCAACCTGAAATCACTGGGGAGATCTACTGTACTCCACTCTACTCAGCATAAAGCGTGAACAACATCCGGATTTTCAACACTAATGCCAGTCAAGTCAGTGCTTCTATGATGCTTGAGAGACTTGGCGTGTCACGAAAAGCATTTCTAATAAACTACAGACATGCATCAACACCTGGCACCTACGCTCACTCGATACTGATACTGAAGATCAGATGACCAGAATAACAAGAATAAGAAACAAGGAACTCTGGCTGGCTGACTGCCAACGAATCAATCAACAACCCATAGCCCAACAAATATGCAGAAGAAAGAAGTGGAGATGGATCGGGTGTACACTGAGAAGACCGTTCGAGGACACCACGCGCCAGGTCAAGCTCTCGAGTGGAACCCAGAAGGGAAACGACGAGTTCGGCGTCTAAGGGTGACATAAATTAGATAGAATGAGGAAGAGATGAAAGGTTGTGGGCAGTCGTGGAGCCAGGTTGAAAAGACTGCAGAGAAGAGAGTGAAATGGCAACGTGCTACTGAAGCGCTATGTTCCACTAGGAACCTAAGGGACAAATAACTAAATAGTAATGGGACAGAAGTGCATCATTTTAAATATCCACACTTAACAGCAACAAGTAAATAACAACTGGATGGAAAAATAGTGATATTCAAGTAGATAAAAGTTTTTCAGAAAAGAAAGAATAAGTAGACGAAGGTTAATGAAAATACTCAAGACATTAAAGAGAGGCCATTATGATCGACTTTCAGCTACATCACCAAAAGTCTTCAACAATATAATAGGACAGAGTAGACTACAGTGCAGTATACCGATCCTTTAATAGGTAATCGGATACCTCATCAGTGCCTTAGTATAATTTGGTAAATCCTAAAAGGATATTTTGTATCGGAGCTGAGATTTTTCAACAACTAATCTATTAGAGCTAATGGAGCTCCTTAAGTAAGTAAAGTGATCAACATACTCAACACAGCATTACTGCGCAAATTAAACAGTTACACAATAATGCCAGGTCCTATATTGTCTCTACAGCTTACCTCCTTATCCTTAGATTGAAAGGTGTTGCAGACCAGTTTTGAAGCATCACTTTACATTCCACAGGTGAAAAATAACATGCTAAACATGCTCAGATTTCTGTTCAAAGCATTTAGAAAACTCTGAATTTAGTCGGCGTTTTCGTCTAACAGGAATATTTCATCAGTGTACATTCCAGGTCAATCAAGCATCTATACATAAATGATGACCTATTTTAAATAAACATCTAGTATATGTGACAGGAGTGTTTAGGTTGACTTTAACTGATCCAATAAATATTAATGAGCATCAACAAGCTGAACATTCAAAATTATTATGAAACCATCTAGAACAGAATTATGGACGTACCACCAAGATGACCAATACGACAATTCGATATAAAATATCTCAATGTAGAAGTTAACTGCTGCACTTGTTCAGCTAATGATAATCAGTACAAAGGGATAAGTAGAGTGGAAGATAAATTCACTAAACATGTGATCGTACTATCGAGTTAAGATGAAAAACGGTGTATAATATGAAATAAGCCTGTGGACTACTAAAATATACAGTAGTAGTCCTCTTATTTAGACTCTATAGCTATGAGACAAGGCCACGGAAGGTATACAACATGAATATGCAATCAGTATTCAGTTATAGACATCTTTGACTGTGGTAAAACCACTGGGTCAAAAGTATTCAAGTTAAGTGCAAACAATAAATTTAAGTCTGTTGTTGAGTAGGAGTACGTACATTAATTGAGACACGTGTTATACATCTTTAGTGACTGTTTACTCTGATGTGCAATATTGCCTGGATGAGGTAAAGAGAAGGTTAAAAAAGGTGGATACATTAAGCCAATAAAACTTCCATGAAGTAAACTCTTTGGTATTCATCAACCGTGTCACATCCATAGAATACGAAAAGAGAACTGCATTTAACCTAGGCATACTTTGTGAATGCCCTAGTCTAACAAAACCATGCTATTTGCATACACCTATGCAGTTAGTAAATCTCTATCAGAAGATCAATCAAATCTGAATAGAAATGATGGGCATTTTGACATACGATACTACTTATTGTCAACCAAGAATACACATATCTACAACAGAACGAGTAGAAAGCTTCTAGTAACACATTTTTATGCAAATGCTACTATAAGACCTCTCGATCGATGGATTAAAACACGACTACGGAATACAGTATGTACTCAACATGGAATCTGATGAAAGTCAAAGCTATAGGTCAGTGGAGCTGTGATTCATTGGTTTAAATAGACGACTTTCAACCAATGGGTTATAGGCGGAAGCACTACTCCACCTAGCAAGGTTTCGGCAGCCAGGTAGTAGTACCATTAGTCCTCACATAATAGGTTTGGTCCATTGCCTAGGGCGTGAACGTGCACACGGTTGATGAGTGCCTTTTATTTCAAAGTGTATTGGTACGCCTAGCTGACGTTTTCAGATTCCTTATTTCTAAACTTTAGCTAAACACTGGTGATCACGGATACTAAAATCCCAAAACTGATGTCATCCGAGTTAATTTCTGTGTAGTTATTAAAAACGACTACTCCTTTCATCTATCGCATAATTTGAGAATATGAGTGTTGGAGACTAGTCTTCTCGAACTATATATTTTACCGGCAGTTTATAACTGTCTACTTCTGAAGACATTTATTTGCAAGTTAATCTACATAATACTGTTAGTAGCTACGGAATTTAGAGTTTGAACTCCACTGTCCAAAGACTTCAGTCACAGACGCCTTCATTACGATAACAAGGATGTATCTTTCATACAAACTAGTTGTAGCTATTTAGACTGAATAGCTGAAATATTTCACTGGCAGACGTTCCAGAGTCATGCTAGACACAACAGAGACAAACAGGACTACGAAAACTAGACTATCAAGTCATGAGTCAGCACATGTTATAAGACACTTCAGTATAGTTCAATTGAAAAAGTAATCATTTGTTCTTGATAATTTACTCAAAAGACCACATGATCGCTAAAAGAAAAGTAATTCATTTTGTCAACAGCTCTTATGCCTTATGACTACAGTCTTTCAAAAAAAACACCAATAACTGTCAAATGATTGCTTTTTATGATGTGGAGCATAAATAAATGTGGAATTCGGTAGAACGTGTAGATATTCACACACTGAACCGTGAGACACACCGACCACCACCAACAACTACTGCTACCACCTATTTTCTCAAAAAAATGATAGTAGATGGAGGTTTGGGGCTAAAAATGGTAACTCGATGGTTGGAAGTCGAATAGTTTGACTGATTGAATTATATCTCAATTTTTAGCTATAACTGTCTCGTCTGTGCACAGTGATTGAACAGATTTTATAGAGTAACCGTCATACTATCAAGTGCTGATTACTGATTAACTCATAGAGATCAGATATGAAGTTTTTGAATTGACATTGCAGTGAAGCACAACCGACAGTTCGAAAACTACAGAAGACTAACTTCACCGATATCCTTCACTGAGATACTGAATGATGCGGGTTTTAAATCCCTAAACACGTATCAGGTTACTGGAGTTTGCAATAAGCTTTATGTTGAATTCATCCTGGCGATTGGTAGTGGAATCCAGGGTGTGGATTTCACCCTACTCGAGACTCGTTAGCTGGATGTCCCTGAATCCCAGCGAGTGTTGTTCCCACTGGGACTCGGACCCAGCAACCATCGCTTCAAACCCTAAGGTGTTATCTACTAGGGTATGATAGCCCATCCACTACCAGTCACCAAGATGAATACAGCATCATGAATATCTGGTAATGTCAAGGCATCCGCAGACGTCGAGCTATTCGGCCCCGTATTGCAATAACTCTGTTCAGTAAGTACCAAGAAAAGTGGAAATTCAGATAAAATGGAAGTTCCTGTCAGTTACATGTAACCTTTCAGTAAACCCATATGAAGCTTTTATTATTTTGTTTCAAACACATTCTGTATGCGTTTTTTAGCTAACCTTTTAAAACAGATGACTCTGTATAGCTCATCCCTATGATGACGAACATTACTACC